TTGCTTCCCTGAGTGAGTCTCATGCTGAAATTAACTTCAAGGCTGGATACATGGGGCTAGAAAATTCAATACCCGCTCAGAATTCTTTCTATCGTTTGACCAAACCTCGAATGCTAAACATCTCTTATTCTCAGGGAAGATTTGTTTAAATTTTCCAGTTCTACCTTCTGGTTTCAGATAACATGGGTAACAGCAGGGCCAAAACTCTGTCAGGAGAACCTATTCTAAATAAGCTCTCGGGGCCCAGGCAAGCCTCCAACCATCCAGATGCATCTTAAGAGAAGAGGCCAAGTTCCTGGGTGCCTTGAAAATGGAGCCTCTGGCTCCTTGGAAGGGTTAGCTGTGCTAAGTGGGAACAGTAGAAGGGTGAGACCTCCTTTTGAAGTGGAGATCAGAGCGTGACATCCGAAGGACAATGGCTGAGGAGTAGAGGCGGGGCCTTCTTGGAGAAGATTTTCAGGGCCACCTGCAATGAGAACACATGGTGTGCGTCTGGAAGAATTCAAGGATACATGTGTGTTCCCAAACTGTAAACTAGGTGAAAATTCTAAGTCTGGATGGTCCAGGAGGAAAAACAAAATAATCCTTCTGTTTATACCTGGGTGACCACCAGCTACACAGCACATGGGAGCCTGTCTACATAGAGTGTCAGGCCTAAACTGTAAACTTAACCCCAACTCAACACTCAACGATGTGGAGACAAAGTGACAATTCAAGACAGTGCTACTTTGGAGGATATAAGCTGTGCCTTTTGTAAGCTGTCTTGAAACATCCAGGACTTTAACCAAAAAAACGGAATCCAAGAAAACATGATGGAAAATGTAGATGTTTTTGGAAACTCTCAAGAGCAAGAAAGAGAGGAGAGAGAGAAAAACAGAGATAGAGACAGAAACAGAGAACATGAGATTCATTCTCAAAGAATATAAGCAAGTACCATCTTTTCTCGTCATTAAATTCCAACCTGTAGGAGTCTTCCCTCAGAGGAGTTTTCTGACATTAATGTGTACCAGAGTCACCCGGGAATCTTGTATAAATACAGATTCTGACTCCGTGGGCCTGGGATGGAGTCCAGGACTCAGATTACGAGCAAGTTCCCAGGTGATGTCAGCACTGCTGCCTCCCAGTCTCCACGTACAGCAGCTAAGCAGTCTAAACTCTTCTGTTTGAAATAATTACCATTATATCTTCAGAAATTATGCCTTTGATGAACTAATTTCAGATGATTTCTCTCTCTCTTGCTCTTTTCCTTTCTGTGTTTTTCTCTCCACAAACCAATATATCTACATCTAGAAGAAGCAAAAACAAGTGGTAGCTCATGCTTGTAATCTTAGCTACTCAGGAGGCTAAGATCATGGCTCAAAGCCAGCCTAGGAAGACAAATCAAGACTCTTATTTCCAGTTAACTAGCAAAAAGACAGAAGTGGAGGTGTGGCTCAGTGGTAGAATGCCAGCCTGAGTGAAAAGCCAAGCAAGATTTCAAGTGCCAGCACTATCACTCACATACACACACACACACACACACACACACACACACACACACACACACACACACACACACAGCATAAATACTGAAACTCTAGCCTGCATCAAATAAAATTTTGTAGCAACAATTTGAATTGTGCTTTTATCTACAGAGAGAGAGATTTGTACAGAAGGAGCTGCGCCCCGCTTGACAGCATCATGAGTGTCCAGAGAGGAAGACCCCTAACAGGTGAGCTTGCTCTGCTCTCCTGTCACTTCAGACCATCAGATTGGCTAAGTACTGAGTATGTTGACTCCATGAAGCTTTGGTGTCTGTGGCTCAACTTCAAAATCAACTCATCAGCATATAACATGGAAGTGTCCAGTTAGCTCCTCTTTTGGAAAATGAAGATTTAGACATTAGCCAAACTGCATGCTACATGGAGATAATTCAGCCGTGTGTCCCTCCTGGAATTTTGGACAACATCCAACTTGGAGGATCCATTGTGGCCTCCATTTTTCTGGCCCCCCAAATCTGTTTGATCATACTTGTATGGAATTCACAGACAGCAACCAACTAATCATATAATGAAAATGTTGACCAAAGAGTGTTCCAATGAGATTGGACTGCACACAGAGGTCTGTGCATTAATTATAGTGTTATGCAACTATTCATCTTCCAACCTCTGCTGGTATTTTTATAGGGCCATTAAAGAAGGCACCCGAGCATATTCCCTATCCCATCCCCAGGAGTGTCATGTTCAAGCTGTTGCCAATCTGGATGAGGATAAAAAGTGCCATCCAATGACTTGGCAAGGCCACAGTCCACTGTAGCCGCTTGGGTACATTTCCCAAGCCCCATCTGAGTCACTGACAGGAACAAGGAGAGAGGGCGTGGGTCAATGCATGAACCTCGGGAATCCTAAACGGTTCAGGTTCAAATGGGATTAACTATTTCTCCAGGCAGTTTCTCTGATGACAGACTTCTCTGTTGGTCTTGGGCTCCGTAAGGAAGGGGAAAGGTCGAATTCAGCAGCAGCTGGCTGAGGAGTCACTACTTATTCTAGTGACTTGGACACAGCCCAGAAAAGTCCCAACTGCTGTCCCCACCGAACTGTGAAGCTCTGCTTCAGCTGTTCTGGCAGTTAAGCAGTTAAGGCATTGCAGGGCCAGCCCTGGGGCTCTATCTTCAGCCTCCTGCTGCCCTGTCTACACCCCAGCCCTGGTAACAGCTACTCAATGGAGTCTAAGCAAGCATCTGCCATTCTGACCTATCCTATGAAGGCCACGCTGGGAGAGACACATATTCGGCATAACTACGCCAGGAGAGAGAAGCTGAGAACTCAGGCAGTTCGCCAATGCGCTTGGCCCCTCCTTGCCTACATCTGGACACCTAAGGCTAAAAGCATCTGGGAATTTCTAAACTGAAATATCCCCAGGATTAATCTGCACTGCCTCTTGAATTTCTCAGCCGTTATGAAGTCTGAGTCGACTCTGAGAAGGCAGCTGCAATTACAGCCCTCAGCTTCTAGAGTCTTCCAGTGATGAGTAGATACCAGAAGAAAGAACAGAACTTGGCCCTGGGGGCTTTTGTTCCAGCTGGACTTGGTCAAGGACACGATGTGGACTAGATTTGCACTGAGGAGTAATGTGACATGTACATTGCATTTAGGTATTAATAAGCTTCATAAAAGAAATACAGGCCTTCTTACTGTGTTCAGTGTGAGCCATGCAGACATCTGGGCGAGTGAAGTTTTCGGTAGTCTAGGAGAAAACAGCCTTCGAGTTTCAATTCCTGCCTTGGTCAGAACGGGAGTGGGTGAGTTTAAAAAAACAAAAATGGAGGCGAGTCTTTTGGAATGATCTGTGCTCTTGAAAGTAACAGTGGAGGTCTCCCGTGTATCGAATTAATTAGGACAAGCTGAGGAATTCTTCAAGTTTTCAGACTTCCCAGAATGCCCTGGCTGGTTGTTGCTTGGAATCCAGGGTGGCATTTAGAAACCTAGCATCACTTGAGTTTCTCAGGGGTGTGTGCCTTCAAACTTCTAGCATACAGGATGAGGGGGGGTATGCAAATCATACAAAATGAAGAAAAAATTGAGAGCTGAGCACTGGTGGATACACAGGAGGCTGAGATCGGAGGATTGAGGTTTGAAGCCAGCTCATGCAAAAGAAATTAAAAAAAAAAAAAGGCTGTGAGACTCTTATCTCCAATTAGTCATCAAAAAGCCAGAAGTGGTGCTATAGCTCGAGAGGTAGAGCACCAATGACCAGGCCCTGAGTTCAAGCCTCAGTACCAGCACACACACACACACACACACACACACACACACACACACACGGAAAAGAAAAACAAGTAAAAGAAATTAATGAGAGAAGTGTATCTTCCTTTTGAAACTGTGTTTTATTTGTGAGCAGGAAAACCAGGGGGTAGGGAATATAAATAAATACACGTAAACGAGATAGTTCACTCACATCAAAATTACCCTATGTTTTTTCATGCACCTCCAAACGGGCATGGCTTGTGAAGGCTGAGGAGCAGGTGTGTCACTCTCCCTCAAGGCTGCTGCGAAAGAACAGGCTCTGTGGCTTCTTGAGTAGCTATTGTGACATGTTAGTGGGTTCCAAGTGTAGTTTTACTCCAGGTGTGAATCTGAGTTGCTCTGGAGAAAGGCAAGAAGCAGAGCTTGAGGACTGAAAAGAACAGAAAGGAACTGTTGGCTGACTAGCCAGGCTTTGTCCTCAAAGACCCCAGTAGTCTCATCTTTGCTTTCCCTGATCTTTCTCCGAAGTGTGGGTAGGCTGTACATGTGAGCATGAGAGTAGGTAGAAAAAGAGTAGCAGGATTTGATCTCTTTATCGGAATGAACACCTACTAAACATATCAGTTAAGGGGGACTAAAGCCCTACCACTTGGCTCTTCAATTGTCTTTAAATGGTTTCACAATCAAAATGCATTTTCCCCAAGCTTCAGAACACCAGTAAGTTGTTAGCCTCATTAGAAGATCAGATTGTCCACAGAACTTGGGCTTTGATTTGCTTTTTGGGATTCTTTGTATTTCTCTTATGCCAATGCAATCTTCACCAAGAAGCTGGTGCCCAGCGTTATAAATGACAGCAGCCACATTGCTTGATGGCAGTGTTAAAGTCCTATTGAATAAGCAGCAATGAAAACTTTATCAAAATAATTAGTAGTGCCCCAAACCACAAATAACAATGGGAGCCCAGCTGTATCAGATCAGCAAGAAGCACTGGGATATAATAAGAGAGTCACTTCTTTCTTTCTTACCTTCCCTCTCTTGTAAGTTCTACTTGGTTATTTTCTTACACACTCTGAGGGAGGGCAGGTGGAGGGAGGAAGGGAGAAGGGATTGCTCAGAAAGTAAAAAAAAAAAACCTTAACATCAGTGGAGTCACGTGATTGGCAAGAACCAATGAGGATGCACTAGAGAAAGGGGAACAGTTAAATTTGTAATTTGGGTTGTGTGAAAACTTCTTTGGGCCTCATAAACAACCACAGAACCACAAGTTGGGTACCCTGGCAGTGTCAGAAGTCTGAGCCCGCCCGGCATAGTGGTCATTAGACAGGACGAATCACACTGAATGCAAAACCACAGGGTTTCACAGCGTGGTAAGCATTTTCAACCCACAGCCAAGGCGGCGCCTTTTTTTTTCTTTTTTTTTTTTTAATCTTTAACAATTTGAATATTTGTTTTCACCAAGGTACATTTTTCATAGGGCTCTGCGAGTCCCAGAGGTGTTGAGACAGGAGGGGGAGGAGAGACCAAAGGAGCTACCATGGGAGACAGAGTAAAAATAGTGACCTTTCTTGGTTTTTCACTCTGAAGGTTCAAGAAATTCTTGAAATCCCCGCCTTCCGAAGAGGGTACATTTGCTGAAGGAAGCGATGGCTTCAGACAGCATATTTGAGTCATTTCCTTCATATTCTCCATGCTTCATGAGAGGTGAGTACATGCTGGTCTTTTAATATCTACTTCTGCTCAGTCCTGTGTGTAAGGACATGGGAATGTACAGAGTCTGGGCGCAGACATATCTCCTGGGTGTCTGCCGGTTCCCTGTCGGTTTCAAGGGAGGAATTCAAACGGAGGTGTGTATTTACCAGGCTATTGGATTTCTTATTCTTTGGGTGACACCTCTTCTGAAATGTTTTAATAAATGCTGCCTTAAGCCGTTGTTGGAGAGGGTTGTTGCAGTGTGAGAATTGTGTCAAGTGCAAATGACTAATGCTATTCTTGTTTCAAGTTCTGGAGATTAGAAAACTTGCATGAGAAGTGTCCTCGGTTTGATAGTACTTGTGGCTGGCTTCTTGCTGGAATGACTCTGAATTATCCTGAACTTAGCATAGCGTGTGGCCTAGACAACAAGCCTGCCCCAGGGCTTTGCAGGCGCATGGATGAGCTACGTGGGCTCTGACGGGCACAATCTGGAGATTTCAAGGCCAAGGTGGTAACTTGACTTTCTCCTAGAGGCAGAGAACAGGAGTTGTTGAGCTGAGCTGTTCAGGTTAAAATGCTCAGAGGGGACCGGGCCGTGGTTTTCCATGTGGCCTCATTTGCTATGAAGCCTCTTTCAAAAAGAGAAAGCAAGCCAGTTGTTGCCTACAAAGTCTCACCCTCAGCCAGACCAGCGGAGATGTTTCCTAAGTTAACTGTCCTTAGAGCTAAAAATCATTAGATTGCACACTCTTGACTAGCTCCGCGGTGGGCAAAACTTCCTGCTTTTATTTGCAAACCACCTCTTGAAATGTGCAAGACTGGGATTGAGCCATGAGTGTGTGTGACAGTGTATGATGCGTGTGTAAAAGAGAGCCATGCTGAAACCAACAAAAACAATGAATAAAATCGTTTTGCACAGGCACGGCTGTGTGTCAAGGCATGCACTCTGATGGATGTCCCTGGCAGAGTGTGGCTGGATGATTTGGCAGAGTCAGGATGGAGAGATGGAGCTGGACAGAAAGGGGGGAATAATTAATTTTCTGGCACACCCAAGCAGTATCTGTGACTCATTTTGTATTCATAAAGCTAAGTGAGCAGGGGAATGCACAAGGTTGGCCGGCCGATTTGTCACTACAAATGCTCTTGTGAGTGCCACCGAGCACCTAAGCTCTCCGGTCCCTGAAATTTAGAAAATTAAAATAAAATCTTGACAAAGGGTTTTGTGTGTGTGTGTGTGTGTGTGTGTGTGTGTGTGTGTGTGTGTGTGTTGGGGAAGGACTTAGAGAGAAAGCATGCCCTTCACCGATTGCAAGCTTTAAGGGGTCCCTTGTTAGCAGTGGAGCAAGTGGAATGAAGTTGAACCAGGTGAATAGTTTGACTTCAGATGGTTCCAGTACAGTGTGGTGTGTGAGTCACACATCTTACAGTGTGTGTGTGTGTGTGTGTGTGTGTGTGTGTGTGTGTGTGTGTGGCGGGTGTCACAGAAACACCAGCAGGGGTAAAAAGCTGAAGATTGCTAGCTGGCTTCATTTCCTCTGAGCTGCTAACAAGGAGAGGAAGCAATATTTGGGGAGTCAAACAGAAACAATCTTCCTGTCTTTCCTCTGCTTTCAATACTCTGCTCAGAATGTGTTATTGTTTCCTATTTTATCAACCAGCAAAGCAGACTCAGGAAATTTTGGAGCATTTCATTGGGCAATAGGTTGAGATCTCAGCTGGGAGGGCTGGCCTTCAAAGCCATCCCTACTGGCTCCAAAAACAAAACTAGTGAGAGACACAGAAATGGAAGGTGTCCAGCCCCAGCCGATTGCCTGCCTTGCTGGGGGCTCTGGAGAGAAGCAAAGACTGGTCATCCGGAGGTCTCACTGGGGTTGCCAGGGAAGTCTTCAGGCTCACTAAGTCCATAGTAGAATATGGAGGTTCATTTCAGAGGCCAGATGAAGTCTCCACAACTTCCTGGTTAATTTCTTCTAAGAGATCCATCAACACAAGGGTTCAAATTGCCCTCCCACTCATCAGAGGAGGCAAGAGGTTATTCTGGAAACATCCACACCCTCAGGAGCAAGTCCCCCTCACCCCCACGGTCCCAGGCTAGCTGGCCACGGCCACTGCTTTGTGTGGTCACCCCTGCCGCCTATAATTTATAGCACATGACATCCTGGCTTAGCCCTGCAACTGTGAGCTGCCTGCAACATCTTGTTTTCTTTCTGGGATGGTCCTTTATCAGTCTATGCAATTCTCACAGAAGGAAACCCATAACTCATTTGTAGCCAGATAGCCGTGTGGAAACGGGGTGGGGTTGGGGGTGGGGAAGATGTGGAACCATTGTTCCCTTCCTCCTGGTGAGAGGCGCCGGTGTGCTGGAGACATAGGCATGCAAAAGAAATGTGGTCTACCACAGAGAAAGAACCCTTGCTCTGTCTCCCCCACACCAAGTTCTCTTTTACTGTGCAGCTAAAGAAGATGAAATGTTCACTCGTGATTCCTTAGCATCACCCTACGTGGTTAGCCCTAGAAAATGTCTTGCAGAAACCCAACTTGGGTCCCCTCAAAAAGGTGCGTGGAGGAAGCCAAGAAAGTTGTGGCTGTGTGCCCCACGCATGCATATTTCTGCAAAACGCCCCAGGTACCCTGGCTCTTAGAAGTGGCTTAGTGGTCTAGGCAAAGCCTGAGTGGCAAGATACCTCAGTTCCTAGAATCACAGGTAGAAATCTCAGCGACATTGCTGGGTGTTTGTCTTCTCCGTGGCTTGGGTTTCTTCACCACAGGCATTTTTCCCCCACCCCAAAGGGAATTGCAGAATGCAAAGCTGAATGGATGGGTGTCACGTGCTTTTCTGGAAGCACTGTTTTGTGACCATTTTTCAAACAATTTTTTATTAAGGTATTTCTTAATTTTATTAAGACATTTCTAGACTGAAGACTTAAGTCACAGAAAGCCATCCATTAAACTGGAGGATGGCAGGGTGTCCTTGGCTAACGCCTGTAATCCCAGCTACTCAGGAGGCTGAGATCTGAGGATTGCGGTTCAAAGGCAGCCAGGCCAGGAATATCTGTAAGACTCTCATCTCCAATGAACCACCAAAAAGTCAGAAGTAGAACTGTGGCTCAAGTGGTAGAGCAACAGCCTTGAGTAAAAAGCTAAGGGATGGCACTCAGGTTCCTGAGTTCAAGCTTCAGTACACACACACACACACACACACACACACACACACCAGGAGGGTATCCTTTATCAAAGGAAATCTATGTTCATCTATTTGGGCTCATGTAACAAAACACCAAAGATTTGCTGAACGAGTATACATTAATTTCCTGACATTTCCGGTAAGGCCTCCCCGAGGCTGGTGGCTGTCCCTGTTCATGCCTGTGTCTCGATCTCTTCTTGTAAGGACACTAACTATATTGCAGCTGACACCTCAGTCTGCCTACACTGCCTCATTGAAGACTGTATCTCCAAATACCCTCACATTCTGAGGGACCATAAGGGTTGGGAATTTAATATATGAATTTAGGGGCCACAATACAGCTCTTTCTCGGTATATCTCGCAGTTCCATCTCCCCTGGCCCACGAGGAAGCTGGATTAGATGCTGGTTCCCTTTGTGAGGTGGAGATTCATATCTAAAACTTCCTACACATTATGAAACTATTTTTTTCAGGTGTTAAAAAAAAACCTGCCTAAATTCACACCCGTGCCCTTTGCCTGCACAGCAGGAAACTTTTGAGACTGACAAAAAGGCGATTTCAAGCTGTTTGAACTGAAAGCCATGCATGCTTACTTATGGCTGGGGCTTAACCACTTGAGGCAGGCCTCCAGCCCTGCCTTTTGCTGGTTCTTTTGGACACTGAATCTCTCTGCATAGGAAGCCATGAGCTTCCCAGCCTTCCTGCTGGCTTTTTCTACCCATTCACTCTGCCTGCAAAGAGGGTAAAACATTGTTAAGTGTCCTGTATGTAACTTCACAAGTTCAGCTTATAAATATAGAGAACCTTTGGTAAAACTTGTATCTGGACATACCAGAAATATGGTATGTTTTTGCTCATTGAGGATTCTGGTATAACTTTATTTTCTAGAAGGTTCTTTTTATTTATTTATTTATTTATATTTTTGGCCCAATCCTGGGTCTTGAACTCAGGGCCTGAGTGCTGTCTGTGAACTTCTTTTTGTTCAAGGCTAGCACTCTACCACTTAAGCCACAGCCCTATATCTAGATTTCTTTAAATAGTTTCTTGGATATCAGAGTCTCATGGACTATCCTGCCTGGGCTGGCTTCATACCACGATCCTCAGATTTCAGCCTCTTGAGTAGCTAGGATTACAGGCTCATGCCCCGCCGAAAAGGTTCTTTTGAAGGGAGAAGCCATTTTGCCCATTGAGCCTGAGGGAGGTTTACCACATAGGTCTCTGATTCTGACAATTTCTTCACAATTTCTTGGTGACATTTGTCATTCTGTCTTTTGTCAAAGGCAGCTTTGGCTTTTGGTCTGCTGTGGGGGAGAGGGGGAGGAGGGCAGGAAGGCCCCACAGGAAATGCGTGCAAATTTTCAGTTTCTCAGGTAACTTCCCAGTGATCTAGATGAGTCAATAAATAAATTTGTCTCATTCCAGTTCTGCAAAAGGGGCTAATAATGTCCTAGACAAACTTGCCTCTCAATGACCAAGTTCCTGTTCAAAAATCTTTGAAGGCCTCAGACAGAGGCGCCAGAAAAACACATCACAGATCTACTTAGCTGAACGACATGGAACGAGCTTTTCACAGTATTTTATTTTTGATAAGAAAAATTTAATCCCGCCATTCCACACATGGGAGAGATTTTCCAATCATCTCAATTTTGCTTTTCTAATTCCCATTCTTTAGAGAAATCAGAGAAGATATCCTGCTGTTGGAACAGACATGAATATCTGCCAGAGCACTTTTCTTATAACTTGTTCTTGGCCTCCCTATCCCGCTTCCTTATGTGCTACCAATGTCTGTGTTTAGCCTTTGGGGTGTGTAAAGGAAGCTTCAAGCC